CGGGGGAGGTACATTCTTTCGATTCTCCTCCCCATCCCTCCGGGAGCGGGGGGAAGGGAAGAATACACAATAGCAACATTTCACAGAGTAAACTTAGGCAAGAAGCTAACTCCACACAGAAAAATTACCTTAAGCAACCAAATTGCTGTCATCCATCAGGTCCCGCTTTGTTCCTCATCTGCACAGAGCTGTTTCAGGTCTCTGTTTCCTCCTGATTTGTTAGGCTAGTCGGCCACAGCACATTTTTATAGCATTAGTGCATACCTTGAACACAATACCTGTTGAAATAAAATCCACTAATTGTCCTATTTTATAAGAGACAGCTGAATATTGTTTTCAGAAACCTTAAAGAATCTTCAGCTTACCTAAAAATTGTGGTTTACTTTAATATGTATCCGAATAATAAGCTTGTACCTTAAAGCAGAATCCATGGTTTGTTGGTGCTCCAGAAATCTTTTTGCCTGTCAAAGACATGTACGTATCACTAAGGCTGAATTCACAGAAAAACTGCAGATGCCTTGGCTCCTAAAAAGAAGAGCAATGTACTATAGTTAGACTATTTTTAGCCAGCCCCTCCAGAGAAGAAACTCAGGAGATGTAGTAGTTATCCTGGTCCAAAATAGTCTTAACATACTGTACGTTTGACATTGTGAAATCTAGAAAGAGACAACTCAGCATCAATTTCATAATGCAGAGAAAAACCACATCAAACTAGTCAAAGAGTTCATTCTGCCAGAGAGGGAGAAAAACCAAAGTACAAGTGATGACACTTCTGGGAAAGCATCCGCTAAATTCAAGCCACAATAATATTACAGGAGGAGTCACGTTTTGAGAGCTGTATGCATTTCAAACATCAAAATAAAAGGTACTTTCATAACCTGAAAACTGTCCACTACTCTTTCTAACCATTATCTCCATCCTCTAAGATGAACCAAGTTAAGGAAGAAAACAAAAGAGGTTTGCTGAAGGATACAAAAGCAGCTCAACGATTACTCTGGCAGTTAGCACAGAAAATTCTGAACAAGAAAAATCTTTAAGTGCTTTACGTAAAAGGTGTCTCAACTCCAGTGTCTCCTGTTTAACATTATCAGGTTTCAAGAACTGCCACCAAAAAGTTGAAGTAGTAAAATGGAAAACTGTACAGTGACAGAACGTGAGAACTCGCAAAATCTTCCTGTAAAATCCCTTTATACACAGGGTTTTTTTATTTTACATCATGAAGTAAGACAACCCCTTTTCAAAGCACCTACTTACACTTCAGCATTTTAACTACCAGCTGAAAATTGATTTTAAAAGAGTACGCTGTTAACTGACTGGAAAAATATTGATCAGAATGAAGCAAAGTTAGGCAAAAGGAAATTACTCTAAGACAATACTTTTCCAAGTTTATATCGCTCTACATTTTATCTATAATAAATATTTTTTTTCCTTTTTATCGTTGGAAGTTGAAATTCAATTTTTTCTTATTAGAACAGATTTTAAATACATACACCTTTGCTCTAACTTCGTTATGTTATTATGTTCTCCCTTTTTTATTTTCCCTTACCTCAGATGTACCTTTAGTGGAAAAATAAAGGCCAGATCTTCTCAAAAGAAAGTACAGTTCTGTCCGGGATTTTTCCCCCTGCTCCTTTGCATGCAAATAACTGTGAATCTCAGGAGATGTGCTGGAGCTTAGGAACATCTGAAAGAAAACATCAGATATGCGTTTTTCCTTCCACCTGAAACCAGCTTTCTATTTCACTAACATACTCAGACAGAACTAAGGGGAATAAACCCCTATATCCAGTATCACACCACAGGAATTCAATTATGATTGCATCTAATCCCATTAAGAGTACTTCTGACTTAAGATGTGTAGAATGTTACACAACTCCAAGGTATGCTAAGCAAGTTACATATTTATATAGAACGTATGGTTTGAAATGAGAGCATTAGTTATGCAATATGTTGACTTCAGCAACAAAACCAGTGTTAAGAAGTTCTGATCCCATGCCTCAGACCCTACGTATAGAAAACTGCAAATGAATGCCACCAACAGATGAAGAAGAAACAAAACAAAGCTACCTCTCCTTCCTCCTGTGGTACAAACCAGATAAAGGAACCGATCTGAGCTAAAATTAATTCAGCAAAGAAATCACAAAAACTGAATCACAAACCCATGCAGGTCAGGTAGATGTTACCATTTTCAAAAGGAGGAGACAAAGGAGCCACCTGAAGGGGTGCCTGAGCAGGAGCTTTAGGAGCCAAAAGCAGAAGCTGGGCCAATCATCGAGACAGCTGCTCAAGATATTCAATGGCTTTGCTTTAGCCATTTCAACCAGACATTGTCAGAGTGCAACACAATTGTTACCTAGCAAGACACTGTTATCTTAGTGTTAGCAAAGAGCTTGTTCATTCTGCATCCTCTGTACAGTTCTACAGCAATCAGGTCTGTGTCCGTCTTTTTCCGGAGAACGGGGAGTTCAACCATTAAAAGAGTGCAACTCCTACGGGTTGAGCTAACAAGAGCAACAAATTTCAACAAAGTATTGTACCGCTACTTCAGCTGTTCACCTGGGAGCAGAAAGACTAGGTACATAAGGGAAAATAACAAGGCAGAAGAGAGAGACCAGCTGAGAATTTGGATTCTCCCCATTTGCCACCAATGAACAGTTTCCTATGAAATATGAAGGCGAGGAGAGACTGCAATGATGGTGACACCGTTGCAAAGCAGCCCGGTGTAAAAAAGTGCTGTGCTTTTTTACATAGATTGACTCGTTTAGATTTTCCTAAAGCTTCCATTTGACGTTGTTTATGGAGTTAACATACTTCTTCAACTCAGCCTTCATATTTGCTACCAGTGAACCTGTTCATTGGTGGCAAATGTGAGCAGATGCCACAGAACCTCCCCTTCTGCTTCAGTGTGGCTGAAATAGCTTAAACTGCATTTGCACCCAGCTGTGTGCCAGCACGCAAAAGATGTACCTAGTCTTGTGTAATGTAACTGTTCAGGGTGAACAGCGGTGAAGCTATGCATAATGCATTCTTTGTTTGAGCTACGCTCCCCTGTCAAGTGAAGCCTGCCCATGTTACTGCATTCACACCAGCTGAATCTTAGACTGCAAGACAGGAGACACAATACAAGTGAAAGCAACCTTGTGTTTCTTGGTTGAACTGCATTATTTAGTGTCTGAAGAACTTGGTGTGCTTCCAAAATCACACATTTCATTTATTTTGCTGCAGTCCTGTAGTGTCCATTCTGTCTCTTGCCTGCTCAACTTTTGCTTTGTGTCCTCAAATCAGATTTTCTGGAAGTGGCAGTGGACAGGAGGAAAATGCAGCAGTGGAAACTGCAGCTATCAACCCAAAAACCCTTTGTTGCCTATCTCTGTAGAAGTCTCACAGACCAGCCTGGGGCAATTTTCCTTTAAGAGCTTAGTAATGACATTGGTTCCTTTGCGTATATGGAAACTGAAGGATTCTAGGTTAGTATGCTTAGATGTGAGTCATTGTTCTGAGCAGTTTTATTGGAAGAAGAGGAATAAAAATGAATAATGCATTTCATGGAATGAGCATAAAGTTAATGTGGTTGCCAGCTTTTAATGGGTACTTCTGCAGTTTTGTTCTGCAGCCTGAGTAGAACTGTGTACTTGCTCTTTGCTAAGATAACAGTGTCTTGCTAGGTAACAATTGTGTTGCGCTCTGACAATGTCTGGTTGAAATGGCTAAAGCAAAGTCCTTTTGAAAATGGTAACATCTACCTGACCTGCATGGGTTTGTGATTCAGTTTTTGTGATTTCTTTGCTGAATTAATTTTAGCTCAGATCGGTTCCTTTATCTGGTTTGTACCACAGGAGGAAGGAGAGGTAGCTTTGTTTTGTTTCTTCTTCATCTGTTGGTAGCGTTCATTTGCAGTTTTCTACACGTAGGGTCTGAGGCAGGGGATCAGAACTTCTTAACACTGTTTTTGTTGCTGAAGTCAACATATTGCATAACTAATGCTCTCATTTCAAACCATACGTTCTATATAAATATGTAACTTGCTTAGCATACCTTGGAGTTGTGTAACATTCTGCACATCTTAAGTCAGAAGTACTCTTAATGGGATTAGATGCAATCATAATTGAATTCCTGTGGTGTGATACTGGATATAGGGGTTTATTCCCCTTAGTTCTGTCTGAGTATGTTAGTGAAATAGAAAGCTGGTTTCAGGTGGAAGGAAAAACGCATATCTGATGTTTTCTTTCAGATGTTCCTAAGCTCCAGCACATCTCCTGAGATTCACAGTTATTTGCATGCAAAGGAGCAGGGGGAAAAATCCCGGACAGAACTGTACTTTCTTTTGAGAAGATCTGGCCTTTATTTTTCCACTAAAGGTACATCTGAGGTAAGGGAAAATAAAAAAGGGAGAACATAATAACATAACGAAGTTAGAGCAAAGGTGTATGTATTTAAAATCTGTTCTAATAAGAAAAAATTAAATTTCAACTTCCAGCGATAAAAACAAAAAAAATATTTATTATAGGTAAAATGTAGAGCGATATAAAATTGGAGAAGTATTGTCTTAGAGTAATTTCCTTTTGCCTAACTTTGCTTCATTCTGATCAATATTTTTCCAGTCAGTTAACAGCGTACTCTTTTAAAATCAATTTTCAGCTGGTAGTTAAAATGCTGAAGTGTAAGTAGGTGCTTTGAAAAGGGGTTGCCTTACTTCATGATGTAGAATAAAAAAACCCTGTGTATAAAGGGATTTTACAGGAAGATTTTGCGAGTTCTCACGTTCTGTCACTGTACAGTTTTCCATTTTACTACTTCAACTTTTTGGTGGCAGTTCTTGAAACCTGATAATGTTAAACAGGAGACACTGGAGTTGAGACACCTTTTACGTAAAGCACTTAAAGATTTTTCTTGTTCTGAATTTTCTGTGCTAACTGCCAGAGTAATCATTGAGCTGCTTTTGTATCCTTCAGCAAACCTCTTTTGTTTTCTTCCTTAACTTGGTTCATCTTAGAGGATGGAGATAATGGTTAGAAAGAGTAGTGGACAGTTTTCAGGTTATGAAAGTACCTTTTATTTTGATGTTTGAAATGCATACAGCTCTCAAAACGTGACTCCTCCTGTAATATTATTGTGGCTTGAATTTAGCAGATGCTTTCCCAGAAGTGTCATCACTTGTACTTTGGTTTTTCTCCCTCTCTGGCAGAATGAACTCTTTGACTAGTTTGATGTGGTTTTTCTCTGCATTATGAAATTGATGCTGAGTTGTCTCTTTCTAGATTTCACAATGTCAAACGTACAGTATGTTAAGACTATTTTGGACCAGGATAACTACTACATCTCCTGAGTTTCTTCTCTGGAGGGGCTGGCTAAAAATAGTCTAACTATAGTACATTGCTCTTCTTTTTAGGAGCCAAGGCATCTGCAGTTTTTCTGTGAATTCAGCCTT